TATATCATTTAAGAGCTAACTAATTTGCTAAGAACTGCAAGTATTCAGGTCACAGAAACCAATTCAGATTCTAGCCCATGAATGCCTAGGCAAATTTACTTACATAATTCACAACCACAGGCTTGTCCTTTTTGTTGAAGACCTTTAAGTTTCCTGTTTTATCTCTTGCAGTGCTTTTATTGTGGAGTTTGACTACCTGGTACATAGGTAATGTATGAATGCATTCATAATGAAATAAGGCCCTTTTTTTGCCTTGCTTTCCTTAAAAACAAACAATGGTCTAAATGGGCAAGATATCCACAATTGTGCTTTTTTTTCTTTTCTTCAGTCTTAACAAATCAACTTCTTTGACCATGTAATAAATGATGGATACCATTCAAATTAAAGTGATTCTAAAGGCATATATATTTTTTCTAAATAACAAACATGTCTATACTTGCTCTATGTAGTTGTTTTGCACAGAGCAGTCTGGATCCTCCTCTTCTTGGGTCCCCTGCTGACTCTCCTAGCTCCTCCCTCCTGTCAGGTGCCCCCACAGCAAGGAGCTTGCTATGGAGGCACCCGCTGCTCTGTGTGTCCATTCACACACAAAGCCATGGCTCAGCCCCACCCCACCCTCTCTTTCCACATTGGCTCAGTTGCTGTGATTGAAGCCAATGAGATGAAGGAGTCCTAGGATAGCCGAGACTCCAGTGCACATCGCTGGATCGAGAAGGGGCCTTAGGTGAGTATTAGTGGGGGCTGGGGAGGATACTGCACACAGAAGGTTTTTTACCTTCATGCATAGAATGCATGAAAGCAAAAAAACCTTCAGCCTTTACAACCGCTTTAAGAAAGTCACCTTTCTCTAATACAATTAATTTAAATCAATAAAATTAATAAAATCTCTTCCCTTAATAAAAAATTGGTAATAAGCTTAATATTATACTTGCAAGGCCTATAAAAAAAAGGGCCAAGAGGTAACCCCAGCAAAAATAGGCATTGCAGCATCAAATTATCAGGATGTTATTTAATATGTGCCAACCTAAAATGTGTTTTCTGTGACTTACATGTTATCAGGTACCTGTGGTGGGCTCAGCCAGCAGGGCACTCAACCTAGGGCTGGGGCTACTCAGGTAATTCAATTTATTTTCTACTGAAAGATTAAACCTCTCATTGACAGTCATCTCACTTAAAACAAACATAAATGGGTAACTTCACTTTCGTGGGGAAAAAAATGTAGCAAAAAAAAAAAATAATAATATAACATATACAGTTGCTACATAAGCCATATTGAAATGTAAGAATTGCCTTTCCTTTTCAATCAGCATTGTTGAATTTTCTGTAAAGTTTAATATCAATGCAATATGCAATATGTCAGCCTGGATGCCTTCTGTACCCAGTTGGTGTACAGATCTTCCTCATAAATGTAATTTTCTGCTTGTGTGATTGGCTCACTGATTTTGCCAGATCTCTGCACTAAGATACAAGTCAGATGTTAGGTATCCTCTGTACCACAAATTTAATTTTTGGTGAGATACTCCCAAAGGATTAATACATTTTAAAGGGATGCCGACACGGTAACTTTTCTCATTTGAGCACTGCAAGTGCATCCCTAGGTTGGGAAGAGCAGTGAGGCAATAACACGCAGGAAAAAAATAAATATTATGGGGTAATTGTGCACACATACAGGTTTCCAAGTTGCAAGGAAGAGACATTAATATTGGGCCAGCCTTGTTGCCTGGAATGATTCATATGTAACATCTAGAGCAGGGGTGTCAAACTGGCGACCCTCCAGCTGTTGTGAAACTACAAGTGCCATCATGCCTCTGCCTTTGGGAGTCATGCTTGTAACTGTCAATCTTGCAGTACCTCATGGGACTTGTAGTTTGGCAACAGCTGGAGGGCCACTAGTTTGGATGCTCCAGGAAGAGAAAGACAGAAATGTGTATTTGCTAACTACTCCAGCTAAAACTATTTATGATCGGTGATTAGCTAGGATTATCTGTATAATGTTATAATTACCTAGCCTAGGCTTGAAGGTTTAATGATGGCTATTAAAGTGAGACAGGGATGCGTAATGTGTTAATCTCTGCTAAAAGAGAAGTATGGGAAAACACTTTTTTTAAAAATCATACTTACCTAGGTGGATGCAGCATTGGTCTGATGCTGCATCTGTCCCCTGACAGCTCTAAGGATGAGAACTCAGCTCATCGGTGAGTTCTCACTGCCTCAGTGAGCAGAGAGCGGTTACTGTCTGCTCTGCCCCCTCCCCATGCTCACTGGAGTGCTGGGCTATGGAGGGGGCGAAAGCGGCTCACTGAGAGGCTGAGAGCCAGGTGCTGCTTCAGACTCTGGGGTGGATACCGACCATATGGTCGCAATTCTTCCCAAGTCTGGACCGGCTCTGCGACATCAGCCTACAGCAAGCTTCAGCCCACTGTCAGCTTAAAACGGGTCACAGGAGTGCAGAACTGCACTCCTGTGCTTCATAGGAGAAGTACTGCCAAAAGAGCTTTGGTTGTACTTCTCCTTTAAGGGGGTTTATGTTGGCTGATCCAAAATTGCTCAGTGAGAATTGTAGATCAATATAGATGTTTGTTAACAGACATGAGCATGACAAGCATATACTGGCATACTATAGTGTTCCATTAACCATAAAACATCAGAGTGCAGCGCTTAGAAAAATAAATATATGTGGTTCAAAATAGTAAAGAGTCAATAAAGTATCAATAAAGTATCCACAGTGTTTCACTGGAGAAATGCGAACTTCCATAGGTTAGTAGACACCTAGTAGACTAACCTATGATTGAAACTGATGATGACTTTGTTGACTTGCCTCGGGGCTACAACTACTTGGTAGATTTCTCAGACCTTTCTTTTCCTACTGAAAGACCAAACCGTGACCATCCTTATGAAGAAGGCTCCTATGTGGAGCTATCATCCCCACAGAGAAAGCACTTTGCCACCCTGAGAGGAGGTTTTTGTGTGGAGCACCTGGCTGACCTTAAGGGGACCCCTGGACCTGACTAAAGAGTCTGTGATGACCCACCGTGAGGGAAATGCCTGCTGCCTAACCTCTGATGTACCCATTACCTGGGATGCTTGATCATACATGCGCATAACCCATGCGTTTCCGGTGAGTGCGCATTTCTGTTATTTGAAAGAGTAAAGGCCGTGGAAGTTCGCATTTCTCCAGTGAAACACTGTGGATACTTTATTGATACTTTATTGACTCTTTACTATTTTGAACCACATATTTATTTTTCTAAGCGCTGCACTCTGATGTTTTATGGTTATATTGTTATTTTGGAGGCATTGTGGTTGCCTGAAGTGTTCTAGCTGCTGTTATTTATAAGAGCGCTCACTATCCTTTATGCTGAATTTATAGTGTTCCATTCCAGACCTCCTGTTAAGGCATTTTAATTAGATATTTACAGATTTAGCAAATCCCTGTCTATTAGTTATCTGCTAAGTAGTGGTAAGCAGAATAGTTGATGCTATTCTGAACGTCTTTTGAAGTCTCCAGTCCCTTCGCACCCCATTTTACCAAGTTAAATGACTATGGAAATGCAATCTTGGGATTATATTCTGAAAGAGGAGGTCACAGATGCTCTGTCTCCTATTCTAAAAAATGTCATGGCTGACCTGTGTCCTCTCACCCAGTTTTTGGGGTGCCCAGTTGGCATTATCATCACACCAAATGCTTATGGTTAAGTACAAGCCTAGTCAAAACCTAGCTAAACTTAAGCCTAGGCTAACTACCCTGTAATGGAAAAATGTGTATACTTACTTAATCTTAGTGCGCTCTGGTCCAGTCATGTGATTGGGTCCCAGCACTGGCTTCAATGTGGAGGAGGCACAGCAGCATAATAAGTAGGGGTGACATCACTGCCCAGGCTTTGCAGCCATCGTCACTACCCTCTCCTCTCCCCTTGAAGCCGGTCACTGAGGAAACCATGTGACCAGACGTAGATTAGGTAAGTATAGACATCTTTCCTTTACAGGGTAGTTAGCACAGGACTTAGAATGAGGGTGGGACTAGGCTTAGTGGGGTTAAGCATAGTTAGGTTTTGACCAAACTTCTATTTTAATGTTATATGCTGATTGCAGCAGTTTCTCTGCTTTCAATTACTTTTTGAGATTACTGGTTAATTTTCCAGGAAGGGAAAATGGTAGAAAGAAGCGGCAGCGCTGGAATGGAGTGAAGGTAGCAAAAATGGTCTGATTGGGAGTATAGAAAAGTGCTCTTCTCTTGAAGTCACCTTTATTTGAACTTTGCTTTGACTTTAAGACAAGATAAGGGGTTCTTTAAATTTAGAGTGGTGCATGGATTCTTCTCCATGTTTTAAATATGCCCCTATCATAAATGTTAGCAGATCTTTTTCTTACATGGCAAATACTTTGCTGTAAACCAGTTGGATATTCAGCCACTCAAGGATCTAGGTCTTTTTACCACTTTCTAGGAGACTCTGCTGGATACATGGCCTAAATTTACAGGTGCATTGCCTCCTCCATCAGGTTTTGTGTTTTCTTTAACTTCAGCAAGGTTTTGTGAGGTTTGTCAGATATTTTAGGTAAAAAAAAACTGTCATTTTATATAAGCACTTCTTAACCCCTTCACGCCTAAGGGTAAAACAAATCTTAATGCTTAACCACTTGCTGACCACAGATAGCCGAATGACGACTTCACTGCGGCCGGCCACTTCTGGGAGGGCATTATATGACGTTCTCCCAGAACGCGCCCTCCTGCACGCCCCTGGCAATCTCCGTGATCGTTGTGTCCTACGGACACAGCTGATCACATGAGGTGGTAAAAGGCCAATCACAGCGGCCTTTTACAACGTGATCAGCCATGTCCTTTGACACAGCAGATCACCGGTAAATGCAGTTGCCGGTTATCGACTGCACTTTTTTCATGCTGTCACAGTGTGAGGAAAGTACTGCCAATAACCGGCAATTGTCAGAGGAGGGATGGGGATCGATCATCAGGGCTCTGATGATCAGTGCCCTGATGATTGGTGCCCAGCAGTGCCACCCTCCAGTGCCGCCCACCTGTGCCCAGCAGTGCCACCCACCTGTGCCACCCATCAGTGCTGCCCAGCAGTGCCGCCAGTCAGTGCCCAGCAGTGCTGCCAGTCAGTGCCACCCATCTGTACCCATCAGTGCCGCTTATCAGTGCCCATCATTGTTGCATATCAGTGGCAGCTCATCAGTGCCGCCCATCAGTGCCAGCTCATCAGTGCCAGCTAATCAGTGCTGCCTGTCAGTGCCCATCAGTGCTGCCTATCAGTGCCCATCAGTGCTGCCTATCAGTGCAGCCTCATCAACGCACATCAGTGAAGGAGAAAAAATTACCTGTTTGCAAAATGTTATAATAGAAACAAAGAAAAAAAATTTTTTTTACAAATGTTTGCTCTTTTTATCTATTTGCAAAAAGTGTTGCATGACTGTGCAATTGTCACTCAAAGTGCAACAGCGCTGAAAGCTGAAAATTGGCCTGGGCAGGAAGGGGGTATAAGTGTCTGGTAGGCAAGTGGTTAAGTAACATTTTGCAACGTTGACATGTGTTAGTAAAAACCGTACATATTATCACAACTACTTTGTACATCCAGGTGAATTATACCTTGTTTTTTTCAGGACAAATTGGGCTTTCATTTGGTGGTAAATAATAATGGAGATCTCCTGAACTGGCCCAAAAATAGTAAAAAAATATATATATTTGCTTTAATTTAGCTATGTGGTTTTTTTTTTTACTACCATAATCTACCACCAAAGAACAACCTGATATAAATTCTCCAGATCCTAGATTGTGCATTGGAATGTGAGAATACAGTGCTAGAGGGAACAAGTTGAATTCCTCATGAGGATGCAAAATATATCTATATTGGAGAAAGTCATGTTTCTAAAATTACCCTTCAAAGAATAACCTACAACTTTATACTAAATAGAACTAAAATTTTAAATAATTGTGTGAAATATTTAATTCGGTAGTATTGGAACTTCTGAGTATTTTGAACAGCCCAAAATCAGCACTAAAATGATTGTAAACCCTTACCTTAAACAACCCATTCAGTTTAAAATGGAAATGAAAGCAACACATATAACATTATGGGGGAGGGGGGGTCAGCAGAAGTCTGATCATCAGAGGAGAGCACACTGAGTTCCCAGCACAGCTAGAGAACTGACCACCCAACACCAGGGATTTCATACAAAGGAAGCAATACATCTTTGAACAGGATACTTTTTCATACATGAAGTGTTGGGATTACATATTCTTTAACCACTTCCTGTCCAGCCCATGTACATAAACGGCCGGATGGGAGCGGTGCAGGAGCGGGTGGCTGTTTATAAATGTCCTCCCCACTTCCCTGCCTGTGCACGCTCCCTGGGAGCGCCCAGCACCGCGATCCAGTGCCCGCTGTGTTCGCTGTACGGGACCTCTGTGTGAGGTCCCGATCATGTGATCACTGATTGGCCAATCAGTGATCACATGAATAGTAGTAAGCAAGATGTCACTTCTGACATCATTTCTTACTACTATTGAAATCTGTGAATGATCACAGAGGTCACATGGTACAAGGCTATTCACAACAGCCTTGTACCATGTGACAAGCTGTGACCAATCAATAGGCAGACTGATTCAAGATGATAGAAAGGCATTAGTAACTCAAATAACCACGTGTTACAAAAAAAGGTATGCAGAATACCATTTCTGAATGCACAAGTCGAACCTTAAAGCAGATGGGCTACAGCAGCAGAAGACCACACCAGGTGCCATTCCTGCCAGCTAAGCTAAGAACAGGAAACAGAGGCTGCAATTCGCACAGGCTCACCAAAATTGGAAGATTGGAAAATGGTGCCTGTCTGATGAGTCTCGATTTCAGCTGCGACATTTAGATGGTAGGGTCAAAATTTGGAGTAAACAACATGAAAACATGCATCCATCTTGCCTTGCATCAACAGCTGTGGCTGGTGGTGGTGTAATGTTGTGGGGGATATTTTCTTGGCACACTTTGGGTCCCTTAGTTTCAATTGAGCATCGTTTAAAAGCCACGGCCTACCTGAGTATTGTTGCTAACCACATCCATCCATTTATGACCAGAGTGTACCCATCTTCTGATGGCTACTTCCAGCAGGACAATGCACCCTGTCACAAAGCTCTGATCATCTGAAACTGGTTTCTTGAACCTGACAATGACTTCACTGTACTCCAATGGCCTCCACAATCAGGCAACATTATTCTTTCTCTTCAATAGTTCAGATCTTCATCTTTAGAGCTTTGGTTCTAATTGCTGATAAAACAAGATTATTGAAAATCAATATCAGAATTACAATAAGCTGAGAGGCAGTATTTTTTTTAAGTGAGTTATTTTTTTTATACAATACATTATCTGCATGCAAACTGATATTCTGCTTTATTTCCTCCTTTAAAGTTTTGTAACAGCTCACGACTTTATATGGTAGACTGCATAGTGTTAACCGCTTTCTTACTAAAAATGTATTTATACGTCAGCTGCTTTGGAGAGTGTCTCTACATATTCAGTGAATATCTGTTTGCCAAGGCAAAAACCAAGTCATATTTTTGTAGCTGCAGTGGTCTTACCAGAGCAGGTCTTGACAAAACCTCTGTAACACGGATCCAACCCACACGCACACGCCCACAGCGACTAGCTAACCAAGGTACGCACGTGCGTCCGTGACTTGGGGTAAAAGGGAATAAGGGGGACTTAATCTGAATATATATAAGACCAGCTGTGATATACTTTCACAGCCCACACTACCTCTGGCCACCACTAGAGGGAGACTCCACTCCAATCCAGCTGGCCGACCACACACAGGCAGATACGAATCTTATATACAATCTGGTGCACGCTAAGGGTTAAGGAGCAGCCTAGCAATTGGCACACCCTTATAGGATTCCTCCAGCTATCCCACAAGCTAGAACCCCGGTGTTAATCACTCTTCCACTGTCCGCACACCCTCTCACCAGACACACCACAAATGGTAGCTTGCCACCACCCAACAGTTGTATCTGCAGACTGGTCTGCTGGGCCACCACACACACACAGATCTCCATCTTGCAGATCTGTTACCTTTACAATCTGCAAGCAATCTGCCAACACGCAGTGCAATTGCATACAGATTGGCAATGAACTTGACCAAGCATATAAAGACACTGCAATACAATACAATCTAATTTCTCTGGAGATATGAGCCCGAGCTTAAGTACCCAGAAGTCACTTATTAATTTTATGATTTAGTATCCTGAAAGTGGGCAGTGCATAAAATATGTACAAAGTATAAAAAGTTACAGAAAATACAAAAAATACAAGAAGACACACAATTGGCTATTGATTATAAAATAAAAGGGAATAAAAAACAGAAATAAAACTTTTACCAAGAGTTATCCTGCGACTGGAGCAAGTCAGAGAAAGTCCGCGATCCGCGAGTCGATAGAACTGGCTCCGTACGAATCACACCGTCCATATCCCAGGTCCTCAATTTATGCGAATATGGACGTAGGCTGGACATTAGCCCTTGGCCAATCGACTGTGGGGGGTGTTCCTGTACCAGCCCACAGGACGTTCTGGGTACTGAAATGCCCAAAGTTGATTGGAACAGGAACAGTTTGAATCACCAAGTCAGGGATTGAATTTCCGACACCAGTGCATCAGTCCGATTCCGACAGTACCAATCACTGTTCAGCTGTCGCAATCAGGTGCCATATAACCATTTTCTGCATTTCTTTGGATTCTTCATAGGCTACAAATACAGTTTTACATGCAGGTGTAGCCTACACTGTGTCCAATCAGAAGGAAGTATTTTCATCTCTCTGCAACTAATATTTTAGCTTTTATGAGACATGAAATATATTCCTTTGATCTGCTGATATACTTTAGAGCTCCTAGGCAGATCGGAGTCCTCTCTTGGTCTCCCACTGCCTCTGAAGCCGAAATGTCTAGAAGTAGGTGACAAGTCTTATTGGCATCTAGGTGTCACCTCTAGTCTAGAGGAAGCTCTGTCCCTTCAGATGCTAATTGTTGACCATATGTCTCTGACTTAATTCTGAACACATCTTATTATTAACATGGAATGAGCTAAATCTACATTGTCATATGTCTACAGATCACATCTCAGCTACTCAAATCTTTACATTTACGTCACACTCTGACAGTGGTTTTAAGCTAGTTTACGTTTGTACATTTGCTTCATATAGGTACTAGTGTAATTTCTTTATGCAGCACAATTGTTCTGCTTGTGATAACTCATAAGGTGGGGTTGTGAGGGCAATGAAAATCTAGAACACAAAACAGGTGCTTTTGTAATACTACATGCTCTAGCAGAAGTTAACGAATAAGTATTAGAACTACATGAAAAAAACATTTCTAAATTTTTTTTTTGTTTGCGCTGTGTTGTAGGTCCACTCCAGACAGAGCCCAATTTATGGGAATTCCTATGGGCCAGCAACAGCACAGCCTTAGGCATCACCCACTGACTGATCATTTAATATTGTGATTGCAGCACTTCAGGGTTGTGTGATAGATCTGCTAGCTGCTAGTAAACCAACAGTGCACTGGTAGGTCACAAGCTGATTGTTCATTCAAAATTGTGTAACACCCTGATGCAAGTTGATGCTGGATGTGAAAACAAACACATGATGGCAGTGTCCTGCAGAACAGTGACATTCACACTCTGTAGAACAGCCCCATGGAACCGCATGGACTTTGCTAAGGAACAGTGTAGTAAAGAACTACATTTCCCAGAGGAGCTGGTGTGTGGGTGGAGGTGTGTGTATATATATATATATATATATATATATATATATATATATATATATATTTGTGTGTGTGTGTGTGTGTAAGCCTGGGAGATGAGACAGGAAGTGAGAGGGGAGAGATCTGGAAAGAGGAGTGCACTGACTGTGGGAGGACTGGACCAGGTCGTGGACAAAGAGAAAGAGAGGAGGTACAGAGAGTCTGCTGATCGCTGACCTTGCTGCAATGTGGAGAAAGCTAATCTGCCAATAGCAGGACAGTCGGTCCAAAGGCGGAACCACCTTCATTATCATTTTCAATTCACTCAGCTTAGGAGGCCTTTCCCTATTGTGCCAAAATCTTTTGGCCAAAGCAGAGTTACCCTGTGCCAACAATCACTTTTACCAGATTGGCCACTTGTTGCTTTAGATTTGCTAGTGACTAGTGCTTTAAACGAATATTACATCTGTAAAATTGGGGAGTTTTATTCTTCCCTCTCTTTATTACACAGTTTCTCAGTCCCCACTTCTCTTTACCGTACACCAACTGGGCCCCATCAAGCGCACAGAAGTCTCTTCATTGCCTTTAAAGAACATTGGTTGTTTTGGGGTAGAGAGCTCTTTTCTTTATCTCCTTGCCATCAGGTCCTGAAGACCCAAAGTGAGCTAGTCTA